AGGTCACAGTTGATAGTCATGAGTCAAGTCTAGTCACAGCTGATCTTCATGAGACAAATCAGGTCACAGTTGATCGTCATGAGTCAAGTCATAACTGATCTTCATGAGTCCAGTCAAGTCTCATCTGACCTGCCAGAGCCTCGTCACATCTCAGCTGTTCGTCCAGAGTCATTCAAGCCAAGTCACAGTTGATCTTCATGAGTAAAGTCAAGTCACAACTGATCGTCATGAGTCAAGTCAAGTCACGGTTGATCGCCCTGAGTCAAGTCAAGTCACCGCTGATCGTCATGAGGCAAATCAAGTCACAACAGATCGTCATGAGGCAAGTCAGGTCACAGTTGATAGTCATGAGTCAAGTCTAGTCACAGCTGATCTTCATGAGACAAATCAGGTCACAGTTGATCGTCATGAGTCAAGTCATAACTGATCTTCATGAGTCCAGTCAAGTCTCATCTGACCTGCCAGAGCCTCGTCACATCTCAGCTGTTCGTCCAGAGTCATGTCATGCCTCAGTTATTCATCCAGAGTCACGTCACATCACAGCTGATCATCCCGAATCACGTTGCATCACAGCTGATCATCCAGAGTCATGTCATGTCCTGTCTGTTACACCCAGATTCTCAAGGTCAGCCCTTTGGTATCCCAGTCTGGTATCCAGTGTGAGGGATGCACCACTGGTGTCTGCACGCACAGCTGGTATCCCCAAACCCACTCACTCTAACCCTTCTGTTCATGAACTCATTCCCCTGTCTGCAGCACTTCCCATATGGGGGGTTGCTTTATGGTGTATCTGGGCCGCGTACTCCACCGCCGATTTGCTACAGGCAGCGGCACCGGCTACAACATCTCCAGAGGTGGTGGCGCATGCTGCAGAACCTCCCGAAACAGCGGTGCTCGCTTCAGCTCCTTGCATGGTGGTGGCGCCCAGCAACGCACTTTCAGCCTGTCCTGTTCCGGCCAGGGAGGCCGCCTATGAACTCTCTGCCTGTTCTGTTCCGGCCAAGGAGGCCGTCTATGAACTCTCTGCTTGTCCTGTTCCGGCCAAGGAGGCCGCCTATGAACTCTGTCTGTCCTGTTCCGGCCAAGGAGGCCGTCTATGAACTCTGTCTGTCCTGTTCCGGCCAAGGAGGCCGTCTATGAACTCTGTCTGTCCTGTTCCGGACAAGGGAACATTTGATTGGTTTTTAATCAAATCCTTTGACTGAGCAACAGAAACTTAGATCAGATAATTTGACATTTTCCATTTTTTCCACTTTTTAGATCATTTGATAACATCACAAATGTATCTTTCCAAGTTATAGATTATTTTATTAGATACATTATTTTAAACTTTTGAACAAATTGTTTTAGTAAAAAACTTGTTATTCTCTTTTGTTAGTCACTAAAAAATTGTCTGCAAAATGAATATTTATAAAGCAACACAGTAATGTTTTTCTACAGAGGCCCACATACTTGTGATAAAACTGTCAGTAATAGCCTATTGACTTTTGATTTTATATTTTCTATTCAGGTCATCTACTTAACTTGACTCACAAGAAAGTTTACAAATATTACCTTCTTTCTGACCTTTTCTTGCTCTTGATTGGCTGTTGCATAGTGACAAATACAAAATATAGTGACAAAGAAACAAATTAAAATATATAAAATTCAAGGCTAACCTATAACCTTTAGTGAGTCTGAGAATTATTATTAATAAAAGAAGACAATGAAGTCACAGATGTCTTAATACTGATTACCTTATTTTTGTGCAATATCAAAAGCAAGGGCAGTAATGGCCCCTAAATGAGCTGATGAAGGTTTCTGGCTTGTGGTGGCAAGACAGAAATAAAGAGTTGTCTTTAATACAACATTTAATGGGAAATGTCTGACTCGTGACAACCGGAATCATCAGTATGACTTTTTGAGGTGGCAAACCTGTCCCTTGACTTTTCAGTCATGAAAAAAGTGGCATCTATTTTTATAACCTTATTTTAAGTAATGTGAAATAGTTTTACTCTATCGTTTTGTATATTTAAAAAAAAAAACTAAATAATAATAATAAACCCTTAAGACCCGCCATCTGGTACAACTATGACATATCAAGTTATTATTAAAATTATTTAGTTTTCCATGGTTAAACATTAGTGAAAGATCTAACAATTCTGCAAGTCAAAACAAGTAATTATATAAGTAATTATGATATAAGTAAAAAAAATAAAAAACTCTAGCTTTCTAATCTTTTGTATTCTGTCTGTTTTCTTTTCATTTATTATACAATTAACAAAAGCAAAAAAGATCTCTAACACTAGCTTGCTCTATTCTTTTTCTGTTGTTTTCTTTTTAGGTATTATATTATTAAAAAAAAACCTTGCTACGTGTACTGTGTTAAGCTAACTGAGACTTGTTATAGCACTTGTATATCATTGCTCTTTTGTTGATTTTGATTGCTTCCATTGTCCTCATTTGTAAGTCGCTTTGGATAAAAGTGTCTGCTAAATGACTAAATATAAATGTAATAAGTGTCCAAAAGCCATAAACCTGTATACAAAAGTATAAAGTACCGGTGTAAAACTAACATAAAAAGTTCAGCAATTAAAAAAATATTTTTAATTATTATTATTTAAAATTGTAATTATATTTTATCATAAATATTTTTCATTATGTTTCTTTTTCATATTTAAATATGCCATTGGTGTTACATTAATGTTTGAGTGACATATATAATAATGAGTTGAATATAAAATTAATGTTTCTAAATAATAGTTAAGTTGTCAACTATGGCTTGTCATTTCGCTTTTATATGGGAATAATGAACTGAGCAAATTCAAAACTTAAATTTTGTAAATCTAAAAGGTTTCATATGATTTTCTGGCACATGAGTCAGAATAAATATAGCTGCCTTACTTGTCAAAGATTTTGTATAAGTTATAAAGTTATAAAAAAAAAAGAGAGAGAGACTGGTTTGTGTTTAAAATGCACAGCTGAACTGCTTAATGATGCTGTCCGTCGCAATAATTGTCTCTGAAAGTCATGCCTGCGCACACATACATACCCACACTGGTTAGACGCGAGTAATTGCTCATTGAACAGTTTGTGAGGATGGCTGCTAGTCTGGACTTAAGCACAGAGAAAACTACAGTTGATCAATGCTTCTATCAACCCACTCTCTGTGTATAGGCTAAGATTTCAACCCCAAACATCCCCAAAACAGCACAGGGTGAATGGGGAATGATTGAAGTTGCTGTCTCTTTAGTGTGAAACCTCTTAATAAATCTGTCAAACACGTAGTCTCAATGAAATCCACAGTTACATAAAAAGAAAAAAAAAAGTTTGTTCACTCGATTAATTTAGCTTAGTTAAGATTAGATTTAGATGATGTAATACACAGGGTTTGGTTGACATGTTTCATGACTAAAAATGAGAATTGTGTTAAGATAAATCCTTGACTGTTCTGGATATTTAAAAATTTCACTTACAGTTGTTACATTAAAAACTAGATATATTCATACAAGCATGAAATGACAAAACACTTTACAATAAGGACTCATTTGTTAACATTAGTTAATGGCAATGAGCAATGTATTTTCATAACATTAATTAACCTTAATGTTAGTTAATAATGATACAGTACATTTCATCACACCCTGAGAAAATTTCATAAAAACATGGCCCAGTGTACGGAGTTAATATGAAAGAATATCTGTATCGATGTTTACAGGTTTTTCACTCATATCTTGAATTGCATGTTGTACTGTGTTGGATTTTAGGGTTAAAGGAAATGTATGTAAATTAACAGATAATGTCCTACACTGTAAAAAATTTAATCAGTAGTTTTTACAAAAATAATTTTGGCAGCTGTGGTTGGCAGAATAATTTTGTAAAAATAACAATAACAAAAAAAAAAAACACATTTACAGAACCAAACTGTAAAATTTACAATTTGAATGTAAACCAGTAAATTCAACAAATGCACACTGCAAATTTTTTTGTACCTTTAACATATACTGTCAACCACCATAATAATTCAGGTGGAAAAAGAGAAAGCCACATGAAGAATCAAATTCAGCACAAGTTTTTCCACAAGCTGAGGTATATACTAGTATGGTGCACAGAGTCATTCACGCAAACACAAAACACCATCATGGTAACACACGACGCTTAAATAATCCAATAAACATTCATTAAACAACAGAAGATGTAAAATAAAACCCTAATGTGCATAACCAATAAAAAAACTATTAAGAAACATGATTATTTAAACAAAATACTTTAAAATGTGGAGTGTCACGCAGGGAATTCTGGGAATATCAGTTTTCGGTTTTTGACTGTAAATTATACTAATATATTATTATGTAGAATATTATATTAATGATTTGTTATTTTTTTACTTCTAAAAACTGTACAATGAACAGCATATTACTGTAATATTACATGAAATGTCTGGTTAGTTCTTTTACAGTTTATCCCTTTATATAGTACGGGAACTTACTGTTAAAAAGTTTTTACAATATTTTACAGTTAAAATTACACTTTTTTTTTTTTTTTTTTTACAGTGTAGCAGAAAATCAGCAGTAACTTTTCTGTTTTTCAACAGTTTTTTCTCTTATACTGTTTGCCCATTCAGAGTGCATTAATTAATGTAACAGATACAACTTTTGATTTTAAAATGTATCCGATGATTTTAGATCTATCAGTGAATGTTGAAATGAACATTAACTAAGATTAATTGATGAATTATATTAACAAAGTATTGTTCATTGTTTGTTCATATACGATAGATGATGTTTCCAGTTTTGATAAAGTTATCTAGTTATCATCATCATCAAACTTTATTAAGGACACACTCGGTCCAAACAAAGACACAACAATAACAACACACAAAAACACACACAAGGACAAAAACCACAATATCACATATTTACATGTGTACTAAAACGCCAATGATTCCACATATTTGAAAAAAGCCTAACTTAACTTAGTGCCAAGTTCGTCAGTGTTAAAATTATACTGTTTACAGATTCTGATAACCTACACATACACCTGTACATGAGATTACGCAACACAGCAGCGCAGGTTGGCACACAGGCACTGACAAACATTTGGCTTGCGCTGCTCCATCTTGGCACCTTAAGCAGCAATCGCATACCATCATTATAAGCTGCATTAAGTCTCTGCATGCTGCTCTTTCTGTAATGCCGCCACAAATGGCCAGTATACATATGGGTACAGTATGCTTTAAAAAGTGTAGTCTTCACAGATCCTGAGCACATGCCAAATTTGCGAATCAACATATTGGCCTGGGCATACAGCGTACAACACTGTCTGTAAATATCCCTATCATCAGACAGGTCATCAGTTATATAATGCCCTAAGTATTTAACCTCATTACATACCTTAAGGACACTCCCAGACAGAGAAGAGTCAGGAAATGTCAGTTTCCTGTCCCCCCTACTCCTAACAATCATAATATTACTCTTTTTGGCATTATATTTCATATCAAAATCTGAACCATATCGAGAACAAATCCTCAGTAAATGTTGAAGATCAGTACTAAATCTCAGATTTCGTTCGAGAACACACAGCACCTCTAGCACGTACTACCGCACCGGCCCCCATGTTTCATGTCCGTTATTAGTCCGTGTGGATGGGAAAACAGAAGAAACTGACCAAATTGGATGATCAATGGTAACGTATTTACTTTCGGGCTGCTTTTTGTAGCTCAAAAGTTTGACAAAATTTGTTATGTCCTCAAAATACACAAAATGTAATGTAACATTTAAAATAGAAAATTATATACACACTTTATTTATAATAATGAAAGTGGCTGGCAACTGTAACTATCAACAATGGTAACATGCAGCTTGCAATGTTGCAGCAAAATCTGTAACTACAATCAACTATAAATACCCCCCTAAACCCATTTCACATGCTTTTTAGCATAATCAGATGAAATGTGCTCTGATTTGACCATAGCTGCAAAGCATGCTGGTAAAAACCAGTGCCACAATGCTGAAAAAAAAACAAAAAACACAATGGGTTCCAGCATCTTTAATACTTGAGCCCATAATGACAGATTATTGAAAAAGCAGCAACAGCAAAGCCTGTACATCACACCCTCTCATCTCTTGCATCTCATTGGATGAATACTCTAGAAAAGAGGATTTTTTTCTGGAATGGGGACATCTCATATTTGTAATATCATTATGGTATATGCTGATGGATTTAAGCCTTATTTTCTGCATGTACTGTAGTGGGGCTGTTCAGTATCAGATCTGCACCTGATGCTCTGTGATAGGTGCTCCTGGAACATAGGACAGAACCACGCACACTTATAACTGACAACTATATATACTGTATATATATATATATATATATATATATATATATATATATATATAT